TTAAAATCCAGCCCATCATCTATGAAATATTTTGCTAACAGGTACATAACTGCTCATTTTTCATGGTGGCAGTCACCATTAGGTTCCATACTGCAGTTCAGTCAATTTATGATTCAAACTTTAAAAATTATTCTTTAAATGTGAGATTCCATCATGTTTTAGTTTTTTTTAAAGCCTGGTGCAACTCTGAGGCGTACATCTTTAACTTTTATTTTAACCTTGGCAGCAACAAGCAGCTCCTGTCGGCTGTAAAAAGGTCAAACTGAAGCTTGAGCAACTTGAACGAAGCAAGAAAAACCCTCCTGGTGACAGGAGGCAAATCACACGCCTGTCTCTGTTGTTCCCTTTAACCCGTTTAAGGGACAGATGGGAATAAAACCAAAAGTCATTTGTAGTGAACGCACACAGAAAACACACACTGACAACAGCAAACACACACTGACAACAGCAAACACACACTGACAACAGCAAACACACACTGACAACAGCAAACACACACTGACAACAGAAAACACACACTGACAACAGAAAACACACACTCACAGGCGCCTCCAGGACTCGTTTCATCCTGCAGGGACAGGAGACGGACGGCAGAACCAGGAGAACCCAGATGGATCCAGCACCAGGTTCAAAGTCAAATAAAAACATTTCAAACACTTCAAGGTGAATTTAAATATAAAACACAGGTTTTTATTGATGTGAAAATCTCATTTGAGAACATTTCAAATGAATCCAAACTGCCTGTTTTTGATGCAGATTCAGGTTTTTAAAACTCGAGCCGACATGAAACTTTCATTTTTTCTTCTTTTCAGCATCTAACTCATTCCACAATTTTAGTGCTGTTTCAACARTTCATCTATGAAAACATTCAGCTTATTTATGACAATCCTGCTATGACTTTTGGTATTTCAGCTGTTTATACTTTTTCAGATATTTCACTTTTTTGGCCACTTTTTTGCCATTGAAAATGAATGGAGCTAACATCCTTAAACTCTAAAATGTTTCTAAATTTTTACAGAACCTTACTCATTTTGTTCTGTTTCTGCTCTTTTTCACCTTCTTGTGCTAATTTTAGCTACTTTTGTTGCTAATTTTAGCTTTTTGTTATTTCAGCTAAAAATCTGCTTCTTTTTCTACTTTTATGTAGGGTTTTCTGCTACTTTGGGCTATTGATGCTTCTTACAGAAGGTTTTTGATACATTCAGCTATTTGCTGCAAATTTGGCTAAAGTTCAGCTGTTATTAGCTAAAGTTAGCTGTTTGTATTTTTGTAGCTATTACAACTTATTTCCGCCAAGTTCAGCTAATTTGTGCTCCGTATGCTTCCTTATGGTAATTAAAGAATTTCCAGCTACATTTTAGTTGTTTTACTGAAAATTTTAGCTGTTTTACTACAAATTGCCCCTTTTTTGTACTTTTTTTTGTTTTATTTTTTCTGCTAATTTTAAATTTTTTACAAAACTTTCCTTAACTGTGTGTCAATTACAACTTGTGGCTCCTAACTTTAGCTTATTTTTCTGCAAATTTTAGCTTTTTATGCTTTTTCTTTCTGTTATTCTTGTGATTTTTTTCTATTTTTGTGCTTTTTTTGCTAATTTCTTAAGAATGGGTGTTCTGAACTGTAATTTCATTGTGCTCTGTACAATGACAATAAAAGGTCTAATCTAATTTAATCTATTCTAATCTAATCATCTAATTTGTGCTATTTATGCTTTTTGTAGATGTTTTCTACTGTATTCACCTATTTTAGTTTTTAGCTGTTTTCTGCTATTTCAACTATATTTTTAAACTTTTTTACTCTTTTTCAAAGTGAGCTCACATTAACACTTTTGCTATTAAATATTTTACACTCAATTTCAGCAGCTTTCAGTTTAGGTTTTCAGCAAGAAGCATTCACACTAGCATTTTCACAGGACATTATATTTCTCTAGTTAAAACTGTATTTTTTCAATGGGTGAATAAAATAAACATGTTGGACAAACATTTTGTTTTTCTGGAGTGAAATAAACGGTTCGAGAGGCAGAAATCCCACAGCCAGAAGCTGAATGTTGCAGACTTTGGTGGATGAATTAATGATGACCTGCTAACATCACTCCTCACCATCTCAGCCGCATTATTTATTCATCTGACTTCCTCCCAACAAATTATTCCCTCAGCTCCGACTGTAAGGCAAAAGGAGGGACCCTCGGCTAAATTTAATTCCTCTCGCTGAGACGTCACCGACCTGCCACAGATGTTAAAGGACTTCCTGTAYGAGGAGGCTAATTTTAACTTTCTTATTTTGGATTTTAATTACAGTTGAGATGTTTGATGAGCAACAGTTCTATTTCTGCTCAGGGACTGATYGAATATTTAACTCCGGCCGCCTGTTTGATCATCGCCTGAACATTTTTATAAACGGATCCATCCATCCATTATCTGTACCAGATTATTCCTTCCAGGGTCATTGGTTCACATATCCAGCAGTCACAGTACGAGGTACACCCTGGACAGGTTACAAGTCCATCAGAGATGAAACCAAATTAAACATTTTTATCTTGTTGGCTTTTATTTATTTGTCTTTGGTCCACCCAGTTGTCTTTGGTCCACCCATGTGTCTTTGGTCCACCAATGTGTCTTTGGTCCACCCATGTGTCTTNTCTTTGGTCCACCCATGTGTCTTTGGTCCACCCATGTGTCCTTGGTCCACCTATCTGTCTTTGGTCTACCCATCTATCTTTGGTCCACCTATCCATCTTTGGTCCACCTATCTATCTTTAGTCCACCAATCTGTCTTTGGTCCTCCCAGTTGTCATTGGTCCACCCATGTGTCTTTGGTCCACCCATGTGTCTTTGGTCCACCCATGTGTCTTTCAGTCAAGTCTGTTGAAAACAGAAACAAACTTTAAAGGAGCTAACCTCTCTTAGCAATCTGCTCTCAGAGTTTGTACAGGAACCACTCATTGATCATCCWCTGGGTATATCAATGGGACCACTCTACCACAACAAACTCTAAACAAAGTATAAATCAAAATCTCTAAAATGAACTTGTAGCCATGTTTGCTTTAATTGTTCTGACTCCTCCAATCTTTACTTTGTGACAGTTTCAGTAAAACGTGCACCAAAAACAACCAAACAGTAAAAACAATACAAGCGGAAACGTGATGGAACAAATATGAATAAAGATTTATGTCAGGAACAGCAGCRAGCAGAAACCAAACAGCTGCTGACATTTTCAGAGTGAACTCRTTCAGCCTGAAGACAAAAGAATCAGGAGACAAAAGATCCTCCAACACAAAGAAGCTCCTTGTTTGTTGACACTCAGTCATCTGCTGATGTTTTACTACGATCCATCCCTCCGACCAAGAGGATGATCATCTGCAGTTTCTGACGCCTCCACCTGGAAACCACCTTTTTAAAAGAAAAATCTGCAGAAAACAAAAACTAAAAGTGAGCGACTGCAGCTACTTTCTGACAACCGACTCCTTCTCCTCCCTTCAGGCCAAGGAGGATGGAGGGAAGGAAGGAGGTTATATATCAACCAGGGAAGCGTTTGTCCATTTGTCTCGTGGTCGAGTGACTGAGACAAGAGAAAAAACAAAACAAGGACGAGAGCGAGGCGAAGGCAGAACAAAGGAAAGGAGGGAAAGGAGGAGGAATAAAATAAATGGATGCAGGAGGAAAACTGAAGCAAGTGAACCAAAGAAGAAGCGAAAAAAGAAACAGAACAAATTGTTTTAATTTTATATGTCTTTTTATCATTTGAGGCAAATGCAACCAATTAAAATAAGGAGGACTGATTCTGACGTAAATACAGTATATAAATGGACCAATTAACAAATAAATACACTTAAAATGCACCAATTAAATTAAAAAATTAGAACTTGAACTAATTTTTTATCGTTTAATTGACCTTCAGATTTATGTTTCCAGCTTAGTCCCAATAAATTATTTATTTAAGAACATAATTTACATTTTACTGTTAAAAATATAAACATTATATGTAAATAAGATGGGCGGAGCTTCTTGGGTCAGCTTCTCTCCTATTGGTCAACAGACAGGAAGGAGCAGGATCCATGTGCTGATCTACTGTGCTGCTGCTGCCTCAGTTTAGATTAAAGTTTAAAGTTTAGTTTAAAACAAAGACAGGTTTGTGTTTTCCTCCTTTCCTTTGTTTTTACCTAAACTTTAATCTAAACTGAGGCAGCAGCACAGTAGATCTGCACATGGATCCTGCTCCTTTCTGTCTGTTGACCAATGGGAGAGGAGCTGACCCAAGAAGCTCCGCCCACCTTATATGCATAATGAGGCAGAAAAGCATCAGGTAAAGTAAAAACAGGAGACAGAGAAAAGTAAAAACAACACATGGAAATAAAATAAAAAGACTTGTGGAAAAAACATAAAAATAATTAAACATTTAAGAGACGCAGATGC